ATTTAATTTCTAACTTATTTTAATGTAATAAATGAAAAGTTACTATTTTACCCTTTCAAAAATATTAAAAATATGGTCAAAGTCAATTTTTTTTTGTCAACCAACAGACATTTGGATGAAAACCGTCAAAAAGGGCCTCCGCCACAACGTTTCGAAAGGTTTGGGGTGATGGTTGCAACAAATTAAAGGTTTGTGGAAAGTCTGCTAATGTTTTAAAGGTTTGGGGCCTCTGCTGCAATTTTTCCTAATTTTATTCTTTTTGAGGAAAGAAGTACCTCCTGACATTTCATTTGTATCTCAATTCAAGTTCGGAGGTAGGGCGTTCTTTCCTTATAGTCCAAATTATCATCTATAGGTGTAGTAGGAGATGTGTCAAATCCTGCCCCCACATTGATTTTCAATTGAGGCAATATATTCAGAACGAGCTTTGGTGCTGCTTTAACTAACACATTATAATTAGAGTCCTTAATAAACCCATCTTAAGTTACATCAAAATTACCTAGTTAATTAGATTTATGTAACATATAGGGTACGAGAAATGGATAATGCTATACGTATATCAGGATGTCAATAACGGTGAGGGGTGGACATCACATTATATACAAATAGCATTTCCCATGAGAAATATATAGGAATGGATAGCCAGCGAACTGATAATGAATAGAAATAAAATTAAGGTGGTAATTCATTAATTGATCCACAGCCATTCTTTCTGCTAATATTAAAGTTGAAGATTAATTTCCGGCGAGAATGTTGCCTAAATTACTCATTTCTCATTTGAGTTACAAATACTGTCTTTTTTAATTTCAACCCTTTTTGTTATACGTTATATCAATGGTTGAAATTTCAAATTTCACTTTATGAGATCCATGATTTTAAATTCTAAATAAAAAAAAAAATCAACACAATGAAACAATAGATTAATTTTTTATTCTTAAAAAGTTTAGTGTGAAGGACACGAACTTTTTCCTTTAAAACAATTACCGACTTATGACCATAACACATATTAGCCTTTTGAGCTCCGTTAAAACGACTTTTTTTTTTTGTTGGAATAGTGAATTTTTGGAAAATGAATAGTTAAAAGAAAAATATTTTAGATTTACATATAACATTATTTTGTGGGAGAATATGTGGTTGAAAATGAGTTTTACAAAAATGTATTTTTTGAAGTGGAAATTACGTCCACACAGGCATTTAACATTTTCAATTCAAAAATCAAGTTTAGGATTTATTTATACAAAAATCAGGTTATAATTACATATAAAAATAATAATAATAATAATTAATTTAGATACCCACATCCTATTCTACCCACCCATTTATACCCTAAATCAATTTCGTTCTTGTTCCTTCCAATTCTCTCTCTCTCTCTCTCTCTTTGCCACTTTCAAGTGTCGTTGGGCAAGTGGTGCTACGAAGAGAAGCCGCACATTGCAGCTGCGACAGTTCCTGTGCAGTAGCATAATCGCTGCTGTAACAATGGTGCAGAGAAGAGAAAGTCGCGCACAACAGCGGCATGCTGTCGAAGCAGTGCTGAGAAGGGAAAACTATGCCACTACAATGACGCTCAGATCGCTGTTGCAGAGACGATCATTGGGTGGTGGTGTTTGGGTTTTTTTATTTTTTTGTTGTTGTTGAAGTGGTGGTGCAGGCGGTGGTAATAGATTTGGTGGTGTTGGTGTTGTGTTGGTATTGATGGTGGATCTGGCGGCGGTGGAGTAGATGTAGGTGCTGATTTTGGTGTTTGTATGGCATTGGTGGGGGTGATGGTTTTCGAAATGGTGGAGGTAGAGGTGGAGGTGGTGGCGGCGTTGTGTTGGGGTTGGGTTGGGCTGGGTTGGGTTGGATTGTTGTGACTCGTTATTTGGTTGTTGCTAATAAAATGGTTAATTTGTGATCATTAAAAAAAGTTGTGACCTATAAAATTTATTATTTGTGACCGATTTGAAAATCTGTGGCTGACAAGTAAATTGTGACCTATAAATTCTTTGATTTGTGACTTCAAAAAATTTTTATTGTGACTGTGTGACCAATAAATACGTTGTGACCAATAATTATGTAATTGTGACCTAAATGTATTTAATTAATAAAATATTTTTAATTAATAATTAATATCCGAGTATTGAAATTTGAAACTTAAAACCTGAAAAATGAATTACCTCATACTTAATACCTGATTTTTGAATTTTTCCCTTTTTTTGAAAGATATTGAAGTCCGTACGTGGCTTATTAACTTGCTTAATTTTCACTATAGTTTGCTTAATTTTCACTATAGTCACGATCTAATGCAATGCATCATCAGAGGGAAATTAAGCCTCATGGAAGTGTGTATTAGGATTCATAGCAGAAGATATATTTTTTCTTGGGTGGCTTTAATAGAAAAAAATTTAGTTTTTTCTAAGTGTGATTCCATTTCCGGCAGTCAATGGCAAATGGTAGGCCCTGTAATGCTCAGGAAAAATGATAAGAGTTCACAGAAACAAGGAAATGAGACGTCCATCAAATAAAGGAATGCACATTGGATAAAGGAAAAGTCTAGATGTACATAATTATTGCACATAATATTGTCCATAATGTGATGTGACAATCATCTAGTTGTTGATATGAAAGTATGAGATTTGAATTAAAGATTGGATCCTGTACCACATGTAATTATGGACACCATTAGGTAGACAATTATGTACATGTAGCATTTCCTTTAGATAAATATGTGTATAATCAACTTCATAGTTTCAGGTCATTGGACATAACTTTCATATGCAAATATAAATCTTAAAATTGTTCTAAGATATATACGATGTATAGATTATATGCTCCTACTAAGTCCTATCTTCGA